AATCTTGGTAGAACTGCATTCAAATAGTTACGTTAAATTCAGACCACCCCCCGGAACCAAGAACCAAGAATCAAGAGTCCTGGGCATCTTGGTTCTTGGTTCTTGGTTCCTAGTGCTGGTCTGCATTTAACTTAAAAATTTTAAATGCAGTTGTAAAAGCAGCCCAGCCCCAGGAACCAAGATTCCAGAATCAAGAGTCCTGGGCATCTTGGTTCTTGGTTCTTGGTTCCTGGGGGTGGTCTGCATTTACCTTAAATTGTTAAATGCAGTTTTATTCACAGGGTCGTGTCCGCATTTAGCTTAAATTTTTTACTTGCGATTTAAATTCGCGGGGCCTCGGTCAAGTAAATTAAGGTAATGGTGCCGTATGACGTTCATCATCATGTGTTTGGCTAGTAAAACACAGAAAAAGTAAAGTAGCGCATCAACAACACAGCAACAAAACATCAACAGAGGGAACAAAAGGGAAAAAGGGTGGATCTTTGGGGGGGGGGTACCAAATATAAATATAAATATATAAATAAATATAAATGAAAAAATAAATATAAATATGAATATACATATACATATACATATACATACAAATACAAATACAAATACAAATACAAATACAAATACAAATACAAATACAAATACAAATACAAATACAAATACAAATATAATATAAATAGAAATAGAAATATAAATAGAAATAATCATGAATAGAAATATACATGTACATACATACATACCTACATACATACATACAGACATGCAGACATACCTACATACATACATACATACATACATACATACATATGTGTATACAAAGAGAGAGAGAGAGAGCAGTCTTCTTGAGGATCAGAGTATCATCTCCCTCATGAATATGATTCTTCATGGTCTTTGTCACGAGAGTAATCTATTTCAGTCAATAACTATGAATAATGATATCAATGTATCGTGAAAAATGAAGGATGAAGGCCATATCATCCATTCCCATAGTTTCAGCATGCGTTGAATTTGATCCAAGCTTGTGTTCGATTGCATGAAAAATCTGTTGTACCAAAAACTCGTCGACTGCAAAGCCAGGCAGAGAAGTCCAACAGATACATGACTGCACAGACTATGATCCGACCACAGAACTGCCAAGAAGAGGGTGAAACGACTGCACAGACTGCACACACTGGTTTTCCCTTCGCAGCGGCCGGTAGCGTGTGATTGTGACGAAGTCCAACCTTGACTCTCCCCGATATTCAAGGAAGTCCAAGTGATAATAGCCCTTCCGAGCATCTCTGCATTCGGAGCGACAACACCTGTCGCAAAGAGCAAAACTTGGAACTTTCTGGGATTAGGAGTACACCGACTACGCAGCCTGTGCCGCTTCTGGAGTGTTTTTGTCCTTCTCACCTGCTGTTGCTCCGACCACGGCGTCCACGGCTGTCGTCTCGCGAAGCATCGCGTCGCTGCCCGCACCTCGGTTCTCTCAACCCTTGTCACTGGCCACTGAAACGCAGCACCCCAAAATGAGCACCTCAGCCTGAAAAAGAGCCCCCACAAAGCACAAGCGACAATGCCACACACATCCGAGGCACTTGAAGCACACATCCTTGGACGCAAAGACCATGGCGCCACAGTTGGGACAGTCCCAGTCACCTAAGCTAGCAGCAAGAAGCACATGGTCCTTCACTGGAACTGTGAACTACCGGGCAAGATTTCTCATACAACGGAAGCAACACCAACCGTCCTTCACATGACCAGTTTGCTGTAGTCCTGGGATATGTTCGGGAATCTCGGACGTGAGCAGAAACGGTACGGTCACCCTGCCATTGAACTAAACTCCAACGCTTGGCCACTGTCACTATGTCCCGCGAAATCCCGAACTTGAAGCCTTCATGGACCGCTCTCTGCAGCCGCGATCGCCCGGCCGCCTTTCTGGCCCGCCCCCACCACCACCGCCGCCGCCGCCACCACCACGGCCTGGGGTTTGTGGTTTTGTGGTACGATAATATAAGCATATGGCAACACAATGGACCCATAATTTTCAACTTCAAACTACTCTCTCATTCAGAAAATGTGGGGAGCGGGAGTAGTTCGGTTTTAAGGGGGAAGGGATTGGGACTTCCGGAAGGCTTTAATAGGCTTTATGCTTTTCTCTCGATGCTCCATTTGATCAAGCCAGGTGAGCAGGCATGCTAAGAACAGGCAAACGAACTTGGTGTCCAAAGGGCGCGGAGGGGGCGAACGGCGCCGGCTGCGGCTGCGGCTGCGGCTGCCGCGGCTACGGCTCCGACGCTTGCGCCGGCCTCCGACAGCCTCCACCTGCACAAGGGAGGATATCGGAGAATGCCTCTTCAGGAAGCAGGAGGAACCGGCAAGAAACAAAGGATGCACTGATCGGAAATCGGCTCCAACATATTCCAACATACTCCCGAAAGGACCCGCAAACAACAGCGCGCAATCAAGCCAGCATCGCCTCGCGAGCACGGTCCTTACCCTTGCGGTCGTCCCATTCAACCTTTCAGGAGTTTGATCTGGAGATCCTCTGAGGTTCTACTCGAGGTTGTGAGCTCCTACCGTCAGCTCTTGATGAACGCAAAAACGTGTTGGAATATCTTACACACACACACACACACACACACACATCATCCCATTCATCTCTTTCATCGCGCTCGTCCCTTGCATGGCCCTGAGCTCCGAATCCTCCGAGTTCCCGGCATCATATATCACTTCGTCACCTGCGGCTCTGCTTTTGCTTGGGAGGAGCTTCGGATTCGACGAGGACTCGAACTAAGCGTGTTCGAAGTGTCCATCATGGAATGGAGATGTCCGAAATCTGAAGCGTAGATTGTCGAGACGTGCAGGAAGAGGAAAACGAACCCCTGGAAACTGAGCCCGGCGAACATCCCGCTAAAATCCGCTAAACCTGCAAGCTGGGCGTCCCGACCATCCCGGACACTGCCATCTCCGTCTAATAAGGATGTGACGTGGCAGAACACGTTCTCACCTGAAGGGGCTGAGGGCGCTGTCTCTGGGATCTCTGATTCACTCTTGAGTTTCCTGGGGGATCGACTTCAAGGGCAGCTGGGCAACTTTATCTGAGCAGCAAGAGGGCATGTGGAGCTAAGGTCCTTCAACGGAGAAGCGTGCGTTCCACACCAAGCCCGACCTTCGGAGAAGCCAGAAGAAGATCCCAAAAAAACACACACTAATCCCACGAAACCGGAGTCCCCGCCTTGGTGCCCCCACTTAATTGCGAAGCAAGTTGAAAGCCTCCGAAACAAAGGCCCGGGCCTCCATCGTTGGGACGAATGAACCCGAAGCCTTTGTCCTCGTGCCAGCGCAGTATGACCTGGGCAGGAATTTACTTGGGGACATGGTTGGGGCCCCAGGACCTCGAAAGTTTTGGGTTTTCTCGGCGGTAGCTCGCATTCGGCGATGCTGGTGTTGCAGTGCAAGGTTAGGAGATAAATTAGGAGCGTGAATTCGGAGCTCCGACTAAACAGCCTATCAAATGCTTGAGTATCAATATACTTGAGTAGCAAAATACTAGTAAGGTGTGTGTGCTTGTGCAGGTTCTCGTGGCTGCCTGTGTGCCGTGGTGCCCTATGAGAGAGAGTCTGTGCATCGGTTGCTGCGAAAGAATGACGGATGCCTGAAGACACTTGGGCACTGAGGCAACCAGCGGGTGCTGCTACCCGGGTGGCTAGCGAGGCCGACAAAATTACGCACCTGCAAAACACACCAACGCCCCTCAAAGAAGGGCCCCGGCTCCCCGCGGCATGGTATCTCGAGAGCCACCACCCGAATGAGCTGCGAGCCCAGCTGCAGCTGCGCAGAAGACGCGATTTTCTTTGAGACTTTGGCGCTTTCCAGGGCTTTCCTTACGTTGCATGTAGCAAAACTTGTGCAGAGTAGCAGAGGGGCCTGACATGGCCTTAAGGTTCTGCTACAAGAGCGCTGCCTGACATCAAGTTTGCTTAGGTTGTGAGTCTCGTGTAGCAGCGCATTCTGTTGGTTTTCTGAACAGGGTCAAATTCATTCAACAGCTCCAAACCAAGCCCCCTGATACTCCAGATAAGCCGACGACGTTCATGATGTCATAACTTACTAATTTGGAGTTTCGTCTTCCTGCATTCAACAAAGGAGGAGGCAGTTTCTGCTTCCCATAGGGATCCTCTTGCAGAATGCAGAACCTAGCGAATGCTCAGTGAAACAACTGGGGTGAAGTGAAACTCAGGCCACTCTTGGACCTTTAGCTGCCAGGCCATACTTCTGGCCCAATGGCCGTGCTTGTTCTCTCAGTGGCAAAACGGGTCGCCCACGAAAACAAGAGCAGCATGAGATCATGCTCAGCTCAGCGCGAACTAAAACGTGCCGACCAGCCTAGACAAGTTGATGCTGGCCAATTGAATCGTGCTGACTGGTCTTGCAGCGATGGGGTGACAAACTAATTATTGGAAATTGGACTGAACTGAAGCAGGCTGAAGCACTCAGCTCAGCCTCCATCCAGGGCCATCTGCAAGAAGCGTGGAATGGACTGGCCCCTGACAAAATCTGCCGCAGACCACCTGCGACAATTCCGAAGGTCTGCTTTAGCGCCGGCGGCGATGAGGGCCCCAGCACATTCCCATTGCGCCGTTCGGATGGCCTGAATCAACGGCGTGCTGCCGCGATGATGGTAGGAGAACTCCGTGAGGACGGTGGCGCGGCCGAACCGGTGCTGCAAGGATTTCGCCCCGTAGACGAGCCAACCAAGGGGCCCGATGTCACGGGACTTCTTGAGCTGGAAGTCCACATCGGCTCGTAGCCCAATCAGGCGCTGCACCAGCCCTGCCGATCCCCCGCGAAAAAGCGCTGCAGCCCAAAGAGCCTCAGTTCACGCGGACAAACAAGACGAGGCAAAACGGAAATGGAACTGCTGGACTTCTCTAAACTTGCTGGAATCGTCGCACACTTCTTTTCAAACCTTTAGACGATAAAGAGTGGGGAAGAGAAGATGGGGACTATTCGGCCCGGAGCGCGCGTGAGAGCTCCAGTGGGTCCGGGCGACCCTGTTTTATGAGCTCCTCAACTGCTGCTGTCGCTGCGTATGAGGCTCCGGTCATCAACGGGGAGAACCCAAAGAGGTTGCCTGGGATCCGCAGCAACCTAGTAAAAAAAAAGACTAGCTGTTTGGCATAGTGTGTTTAGGCGGAACCAAGCAAGCAGCAGAAAAAACAAAAAACAAAAAAAGAGGTCCACGGAGATCTAGATTGCGGCCCAATGGATTGCCGCCTGCTGCGCAGAGGAGGCGAATGCCTTCCACATTGTCGGTCATCGCAGCAAAGACCAAGGCCGGCGCGAGCCCTCCCTCGAGGTTGGCTCTTGCTGAAAGCAGCAGCCGCGTGGCGTCATGGTGCTTGTAGCAGACTGCCAGGTCCAGTGCTGACATCCAAGGCGGAAAGCCCAGCACCGGCTCATCCTTCGAGGTGCGGCGGTTGACATCTGCCCGCCCTTCAAGGAGACCTTGGAGCACCTCGACATCCCCGGCTAAGGCGGCATAGTGCAGTGGCCGCCATCCCGCGCTGTCGGCTTTGCAGGCTTTCCGGAGGCCATTCTGGCGAAGGAACTCCGCCACTGCGTCCAGACGTCCACTGGCTCCACTGGCTCCACTGGCTCCACTCGTTCCACTCGCTGAGGCGGCGTCATCGGAGTCATCGTTGCTGTCAAGCAAGCCCGCCACGTGCTCGATATCCAGCCCTCGCAAGTACACGCTCTGCAGGCTGAAGTTGCGACGGAAACCGGGCAGGTCGCCAGCTCGCAGGCAGCGCTTCAACTTCTGCAATATGATGCTGCGCATTACTGGCGCAAGCATCTGACGATCGCTCTCAATGCCGAATTCACCCTCCCCTACGGCTCCAGTCACAAAAGAGACTGCCGTGCCGACGACTTCGAAAGCTGCATCACTCTGGATAAGCACCCAGCTGCTGTTGCTTGACAGTTCTCTTGCGGTCCTTTCTACCCGACACCATCCGCGGTGGTTCCACGTCGTTGCCGAAAGCACCTTGCTCTCCTCGGGGCAGTCGAGCACCGGACACAAAGCGAGAAAGAAGTAGCATTTTGCTACGTAGGCTGGGATGCTGCTGATGGCGTCCGCCTGCTGGCTGAGGCTGGCTTGATCAGCAGACTTCCGGTGCTGCTGGGGACAAGAGAAGAAGTCGTACCAGACGAACAACGCCTGCTCTTGAAACGCCCGCATGGGAAGGGGTTTGGCCGTGGGTACGGCAGATTCTGTCACCATGTCCAGTGGCACAGAACCGTGGCTGCTCATGAGACGCTTCAAAGCATCCTGCAAAATACGCATTTGCTTGAAGTTGGGATCTGGGTGGTTCCTGGCAAGCCACTGATGCGAAACGAAAGCTGCCCTCCCCATGTCGTTGTGGAAGAGAACAAGCTCACCTTTGGCCTGCACGCAAACACAGGGAGCGCTCGACCGTTGCATTTGCCTCTGCCGTTGGGGGCACACAGCACAAATTAGAACAAATCTTGCGCAAGGCGCCCATGAAAGCCAGAGCCCACACATTATGGCTGCATCTTTCCAGATACCAGCAGCGTGCTTGCATAGCATATACACACATATGTATTGCTCTGCACACCATCCTTCAGAAATATCCGTGCGTCAGCTTGCAGATTGGTCTTGGGGCTTCGGAATTGGAACATGGAGCAAGCTGAGATGCTTGTAGTTATACACGAGTGGCCATTTGCCCGACACGACATGCGTTCACATGATGCTCTTTCCCTCCTCCCCCGCAAAATCTCAACTACTCACTTGGAAAGCTCACACGTCTCAAATGACATAAAACACTGCTTGTGAAGGCTCGGGCCTTCAGCTCCTCGTGCGACTCAACCTTTGTCATCTTCAACAGCATCTCCGCGGCTACGGTGTACATTGGGAAGTGCAGCTGGGCAGCCTGAAGTGCCCAAGGAACCCACCCGTTGTGCTTGGCTCAACTCTTGCCCTGAAAGCGCTCCAGTCCCAAGAAAGCTCCATTCCCTATTTAAGGGCAGCAGCCTCTACAAGAAAGAGTCTTGCCACTCAGTTCTGAAATATCGGAGCGATTCGTGTTTGATCAAGGGTGCTCCAAACAGTAGTATGTCTTGCCCGGGGGCATCAGCATCATCGCGCAGCGATTTGGCACACAGCTCCAACGGAGTCGGAGGCTTCAGACCAGACACGCAGCAAGACATGATGCGCTGGCGTGACGCGAAGCTATGCGAAGCCTGAACCGACCTACCTCAACAACCAACAAGTAAGAAGTGAAAATCCAGCGCTTGCGCATTGCGCACCTACGGGTAGGAGATTGACTACTTCAAGAAACTTGTGGAGGTCGGGTTACTGGAGCCCTCCGGAGGCAAATAGGCCAAACAACTTCAAGCGACAGGATTTGGAGAACTTTCTCGAGCCAGATGTTTAAGCTGCAGCACACATGAGCTCACCACTGAACATGAACTTGTCATGTTCTTGATCTTCCAACATCCTCAATGCCCAACGCCCCCACCGGGTCATTCGATGTCGCAAGTGCGCATATTGGTGTTCGGGTATTGGGGAAGGGAAGAGTGCGTGTGGCGTGAGGTCCTATGCCCAACTAAGAGGAGAAAACCAGACAAACGAGCAACGGGAACGACGCACAGGCCCGCACTTTTCTCATTGGCCATGTCACCTCTACATCGGCTGCCCTTTGGGATGCACGGGTATTGTAAACCATGGGTTTTGCGATGTCCAAGGTCGAGACTGTCCCAGGTCAACAGGAGGAAAAAATGGCAAGGCTGCTGCGAAAACCGCACAGCGCAGGGGCAGTGGGCTTGCCTCCTTTTGGAGGCCGCTCAGTTCTGCTTGGATCCTCTCGACGGGAGACCAATATCCACTGAGTATGCCGATAGCCGAAAAGTCATGCAAGCGGTGTTCATCCCGTAGATGTCTGAGTCGGCCACCGCTGTTCATCAAACATGCTTGGGGCCTCTTGGAATCTCATGAGACTCGACGACTCCGCCGAAGGGGCTTGAAGGGGCTTGAGGCTTTTAGGGCTTGCCGGTTCCTATCCAAAGTCCTTGTGAAGCCACCGTCAGCAGCGTCGGCCAGAAGACCTCAGGCAGTTGTTCATCTGTGTATCTAACCATCTCCACAATCACAAACCAGGCACAGATGACGAAGGGTCTATTGCATGGAACTGAGTGCCAGAACACGACTCCAGACTTGTAAATGCGGGTGTTCCGGCTACGCTGTGATACTGCTACGCTGTGATTTGTCCCCGGAAGGCGGAAGAGCCACAAGCTGAGTTCCCGCACCGGCCTTCCGCCGGGCAGCAAATAAGTGCATGCCCTGGCCGGATTGGGAAAACTCTCTTCCCGCAAACAAGCATGCTGCAGGACACTACAGTACTTAGTTTTGTTGTGGCCCCAAATCGATCGCATGTGGCAGCAAACCGTGGACTCGCCCCTCAATGCTCAAGTCCTCCCCGGATCGCGCCTGGAAGGCCAGGCCTGGCCGCGAGCAAGACAATCTCTGCCCATGCCACCCTGCCACCCCTAGTGGCCAAACACCCTTCACCCCCAATATTGCATCATGTCCCTGCAGAAAACAACATGGAGAAACCACAAAGAAGAGTTCATGAAGTGGCGCAAGGAGGTTTAAACCCTTAGTCAGGGTGGTGGAGGTTTTTGTGTGCTTCCGCAGGCCACTCCCAGTGACCGCCTGTGCTAAGTCTAGCTTGTCTGCCTGCGTGAAACCCCTAAACCCCTAAACCCTCAGGCGTGGCGCCCGTAAACCCGGTCTGGCCGCCTGCTTGCGGATCGTGTTCGTCTCGACCCTGAGGCTGGTTGGGGTCGGGGTACATCCAAGCAGAGTCAACAGCTTGAAGCTTCTCACATGTTGAGCTCGGCGGATCCTCATCCCTTACGGGCCGCCGATTCACGAGACCAGGGAATCGGGTAGCTGTTAAGGGTTTAGGGTTTGGGGTTTAGGGTGAGGGATTGGCGACCATAAGGGACGGTAGGAGCAAGAGTGCTTCAGGCGATTTTGCAGCTCCCGTGTGGCAAGGAAGGCAACCTAAACCCTTGACAACCCCTGAGCCGTCTGGGGGCTGGAAGCATAGGGCTTTGTCGATCCGCAACAGACCCTGCACCTGCCCCGAGCTCTCACTGGGCCGCCCTGCATCGTGGCCCCTTCTTCCGCCTTCGAAAAGCTTCGGGGGGTGGGGACATGCCGATCAAGAGCTTTAGGGCTTAGGGCTTTACAGAGCTGGGCATAGGGTTTCTGGCATATCTGAGGTTCATCAGAAACAGCTGGGAATACAAATACAAGTCTCGTAAAAAAGTCGACACTTTCTCTATGACTTCCTTTATGTACGAAAGACATTTTCTATGTACAAGAAGTTATATCTTCTTATGTGTTAAACGCTGAAATGCTCACGTTTCTCTCGGTGTTTTTTATTGGACTAAAAACCTGAAAAACGCATGGAGCTTTCTTCTATGTTTGTTGTCATTTGGTTGCTCTCCTCTTCCTTTTCAGGTCATGCTTTCTGGTTCTTGCGATGTCTGGTCCCGGCTTCGCTTGAGTTTTCGGGTTTTGGAGGTTTTGTCCCGTCGTTGATTGCGCCATATGACTTTGATGCTCACATCAACGGTACATGTTTTTTGGCGCACGCGAGATCGCAGCATCTGGGTTTTTCTGTCTATGCTCTTGTGGACATGCCCTGCGGACACCTGTCGGGTAAGGTTTTGTGGTGCCCTTTAAGTGCTGCTTCGTCTCTATAATCTGTGCGTTGGACATGTCACGGGCTGCTAGTTTTGCATACGCTTCTCTTCGATTGGTGAACGAGTTCTCGCAGGCATCTCTTTCGAGTGAGGTGGTGGATCCTACGTCTTTTCGCGTTCCTGCTGCTCTCGAGGAGTTTACTTGCTGTCCGTGACAGTTTACGTCAAGTAGAGACGCCTTCGCCCGAGCGCCGATGTTTCCTCTTCTTGTGAAGCCTGAAGTTGTTTAGTCTCTCTGCAGGCCATACGCCCTACGTGCTTATGCCGCTCCCCCCGGCACGCGATCCGAATTTGTTTTTTTGGTCTCCTTTTCGTCACCCTTTCATTAGTCTTCTGTTTGTCGCAGTTCTGTGGCTTCTTCTGAATTGGTGTGTGTCACGCTGAAGTTTTGATCTTCCCTCGCTAGTACTTGTTTGTGCTTGAGTACTGGCTGGCTGTAATACTCTTGCATTGTGCATGTGCTCTGAGCGAGTTGTAGTATGTGTGCATTTTCTTGAGTTTGTTTGACAGTTTGATGCGGCGTCAAAGCGGCCGATAGGCTGCAACAATGGCTTCTTGACGATTGCTCTCCTGAGGATCATTGGTGGTCAGGTCAGGCTACAATAAAATGCCCCATGAGAACGACGAGTAAAAAATAGGCTCAACTGAGATTTCTCTTTCACCTCGTTCAATCGATTTGTTTTTCCCTATCGTACGCTTCGAGTGCTACTTTATACTGTTTTGTGGGGCAATCAATACGCTTGCATGGAGACAAGATTCAAAAATATTTAATTACCTGCCGAGCCTAACGTAGAAAGCACAAGAAACATTGCAAAATCTAGCGAATCATAACTAACCATTAGAGCACCCTCAAATATAAGAAAATTAAGATTTCTTCGCCTGGCCATTAAGGATTTTGTATCATCATACTAAGCGCTTTATCTTTGCGGGAAACATATATTTAAGTGGGCTACAAAATGAGTCCGCTCGATGACTTTCATCGGCCAAAGACTGGCTCGGACTTTTCGCCTTGATGACTACCGCACTTCGGGAGTCAGAATAGACATGATCAAGTAGTGTCTTTTCCTCGATGACGCAAGCCATCTAAGGTCTAAAGCTATAAATGAATCTGCACGTTGGACTCTTGGGTTCTGTGGGTGAACTGGCTGCACCCTCCCGAAAAACCCTGAACCCCTATGAGGCTGAAGGCTTTTACGTGTCAGTGGCTTTGGAAGGCGCCCTGGAAATGACAAAAGGCGCAGCACAAATCGAACCTGAGACTCCGCATTTCATGACCCTCTCCGCGTGAATCCGTGGTCCCACGCCTGAGCTTCCCATAAGGCAGCTGGCTGGCTTGGGCTCTCCTCCTGGCGATATATACGTGGTCAGTTTCCTACATGTTGAGGAGATAGCCACATGAAGACATGAAGATGTGGAGACGTCTTCCCAGCTGCAGCGAGCCAAAGGTCTAACGTTTTGCGTGTGCTTCGGCGCCTGTACTACGAACCGACTTACGCAAGGCCCTATGACCCATGAGGATCTGGAACCCTCAATCGGCTCGCGGTTTCCGAGCGTTGATGTCATTAAGATGCACTGGTAGGATAAGCTTGTCGCGATGCCCTTCCAAAACCCAAAAAGTCT